GCGGTGGAAAGGTTAACATTTAGGTATGATTTATTGACGTGGTGACTCTCAGGAGGACCTTTAAACTATCAAATCTGTCATTTTCTTTTCTAAAGTCGCTCTGCTTGAGGAACAAACGCGGTGCAGCCGGTCCTTCAGACCTCTGGAGAAATCAGGCACCATTCAGATTAGACACCGTGGGCTGCTGGACTGACAGCTGCTGCAGATTCAGTCATTCATTTTTAATAAGACAAGTTAAAATTGTAATTCTAACTTTTCTAACTTTTCACTACATTTACCCCTAACCCTGGCCCTAACCTGAACGTGATTAAAGATATGCAAACGGAAATCTAATCAAATGTAGAAAATGCATTTCTGGTTCTACAGAGCAGACGTGCTTCATATTGAACTTTATTATAATAATTTCTAACACACATTAAAGTTAACGGATTATATTAGAGCACCGTGAGGTTCAGGAATTACTTTTTGCTATTCTACTGAAATGCTTTATTTATGAAATTAAACGTTTTAGCTTAGCTTAGCTTAGCTTAGCTTAGCTTAGACGATTAAGAAGCTACATTTCTCATATTAATAGAAGCACCAATCAGCTTTTTGGTGCTTGCAGCCTACAGGTGTGCGATTTAGCAGACTGAAGTTTAGATCGCAGCAGAGATACAATCAATCAATCAAACTTTATTTCAGACAAGGGATATGTCCATAACAAGAATAAAAAATTAAAAAATAAATAAAAAAAATAAAATACAAACACATTCTAATTACAAACCGTATAGGCAGTTGCTCCAATGTTTAAAAAGGACTGAGGAGTACCTCGTGTCACTGTAAGATAAAGATGACAGAGCTCTAACAACCGCGTTAGCTGACAAACTCAGTCGGCAGATGAATTTGTACATGAAGAGCCTCAGAAGCGCATGAAAAGTTGGGATGTTACTCGTAACAAACATGTGACTTGCCGAAGTCCATCTAGGGAGCTTCATGAGGATTCTAAAAGCATCCTGATAAGCCACTTGAAGCTTCTTCATTACTACCTTACTATAGTTGCACCACAAGTGGGCGGTATAGAGAGGAGTACAAAAGGAACGAAAGAGGGACACTTTAACGGGATCTGAGCACATGCCAAAGTTACGTGCCAGTGTGTTAGCCTGCATGTACAGCTTACCGCACTGCCTCTTAATGTCCTCGTCATCACAGAGGTCACTTCTTAAAATGTGCCCCAAGTATTTTACTTTGCTTACCACTTCCAGGACCTGATTTGTTAAGTTAAAAGATGGAAAATTAAGCTTCAGGTCCCCTTTAGTAGCAGCAATCATAACCACACTCTTTTTAGGGTTAAACAGGATGTCAAATTGCTCACCATACCCAGCACATGCCCTGAGCAGCTGCTGCAGGCCTGCGCTATAGGGAGACATGAGGACTAGGTCATCTGCATATATTAAATGATTTACCAGTCGGTCACCCACCAAGCATCCAGTCTTACTAGCATTCAGAGTAACAGACAACTCGTCAAGGTACAGGTTAAAAAGGACAGGTGACAGAATCCCGCCTTGTCTGACTCCATTTGATACGGAGAAAGGTTCAGACACTTCTGTCCCCCACTTTACCTGCATTAGTTGATGAGAGTACCAGAAGTGCAAAATCCTAACTAGGTAAGAAGGGACCCCTCTGTTTTGTAGCTTGATGAATAATTTCTGATGATTGACTCTGTCAAAGGCCTTAGAGGCATCTAAAAAACACATAAAAACAGAAGTATTATGCCTCATGTATTTGCTTACAGTTTCTTTTAAAGCATAGATACACAAGTCAGTACTAAGTTTACCTTTAAAACCAAACTGATTCTCTGTCGTAGTTATAAAATTTTGCAGTCTTTCCAGCAAAATATGCTCAAACACCTTGGACAACACACTTGCCATAGCAATAGGCCTGTAGTTATCAATACAGGAGATTTTTCCAGTTTTCTCTTTGACTATAGGGACTAAGAGAACAGATAACATATGGTCAGGCAAGATTCCATGCTTCAAAAAGCCGGTAAAGCACAATGAAAGTAACACCTGAGCTCTACAGCTAGCATACTTCATGTGCTCTGCTGATAGTTGATCCGGGCCGCAAGCTTTGTTTAAAGACATTTTCTCTATAGCGAGACGGACTTCATCAGCTCTGACAATCATACCATGATTGTAGTTAATGTTGCCAACATTGAACCTTTCACTATTTACACAGTTAAAAATTCTGCTAAAGTGATTCCTCCAGGCTTCAACAATGTTCTTGTCTCCTGATACCCCATTTATAGATGCAGGTAGCAGCTGCTTACTGATACAGGAGCGTTTTAACTCCTTCCAGAACTCTGAAACATCATTATTCTTTAGTTTGTTCGCTAAGGAGTTTGCCCGCATTGTTTGCTCATTTCTTTTAATATAGCGAACAGCATTCTTGAACTTAACGTTCGCGGCTTTCTTAGACTCCAATATTGAATACAGTCGTTCACCAGGATCTTTCACAAAAAGTGAGTTTTGGGTTTGAATCTTTAGCTGCATAAGTTGCACAGCAGTTGATACGAGACGTTTGGGGAAAGTGTTGGAAATGTTATTTTTGAAGCTTTAAATCAAAATAAGGTTCTCGTTTACGAAATCTTCTGTAAACTTTAATCACATAATTTTAGAAAACCAGCATCTATCAGCTCTCCACAACTTGGTTTTCCGGTGTTTCTGCCTCTCAGTGACACCTGTAAGAGCTGCTGGGAGCAGAACATAAATCATGCATCTATGGAGCAGAACTGGATGTATTCTTTAGATTCACTCCATCCCCAGTGGCAGTTCTGGTGTAAACCACATATGTGACAAATACAAAAGCACAATTTTCTAATTTCTTCTTAAATGGTGGCGATTCAGACTACCTTTAGTTGTCTGTCATCAAACAAGATAGTCCTCACTTCCCATTTGAGCTAAATCCTGGGACTGCCACTTTGGCTTGGTTCCAGATGGGGTTCTGAGGCGTGACGTCCTTCACTGGCCCGTTGGGTTGTTGTGCTAAAAAGGAGCGATTCTGATCCTACTCCTGCAGGGTGTGTGTGTGTGTGTGTGTGTGTGTGTGTGTGTGTGTGTGTGTGTGTGTGTGTGTGTGTGTGTGTGTGTGTGTGTGTGTGTGTGTGTGTGTCCTTTAGTAAACTCAACAACCGCTGATGCTGACCAGCATGCCCTTCTTTTATCATCACATTTTATGTGATTTAGTGTAAGTTTGTGTAAATCAGCTGATGCCAAGGGAGCCATTACATTCAAAAATTGGTACCATTTTATAAGAAGGCTTCTCTGATAAAAACAATTAATTGATATGTTATTAATTATTCTTTATGAATCATTAATAAGTCTGTATGACGTACTAATTAAGTTTCTGAGCCTAATCTGTTCTCTCTTTCTCCTCTTTAATTAGTTGACAGTAAATTCTCATTAATCAATTAACAACATATATGAAATAGTTATCAGCCATTAGGTTTACTTCAAAGAGGTACCCAAAAATCGTTTATGCTTTATTCTAAAAAAACAAAGACTGTACGAAACATCTGTGGACGTTCCACCAGAGGGCGTGTAACGCGTAGCTATGGTTCTGGTTACAGCAGGTTCTGGAAGAACATGCTAATCTTGTTAAGGAGGTAAAGGATCAGATATGATGTGTTTCGTATTTTAAGAGTTAAATGATGCATTGGTTTAAAAAATTCTCCCAAAACATCCCAAGCAGGTCGTGATTTCCAATCATAAGACTTCTGTAGGTCCTGAACTGGCGCCCCAACCTCAACAGGTGTTTAATTACTTATTGCTGCAAAACTGAGGCACAAATGACAACTCGGGAGCATGCAGCTACAGTCATGGTGAGACAAGTCTACAGCGTAGGTGCTGTTATGGAAATATCCTGGATGTTTTCATCATAGCTGAGAAAAACTGTGTTATTAGAACCACCAGTCATCCAGTATAGCGTAACTGGAATTAAAGCTCTTTTAAATATGAAATGCTCTTATCTGAAACCGTCCCAGCAACAGCACAGACTGGGCCTCTCTCTGCAGGACTGAAGCTAGAGTCACGGAGGGATGAGGTTCATTAGGAAAGGCAGAAAGGACACAAGTGACGAATGAGGGCAGGAGGAGTGGGACGCTTGCGTGGAGCATGCACACGCGTGGAAAACCCGTGGAGGGAGATGTGTTTCAGTTAGAGGGCCACTGAATGAATGATGGGTTTAATGGAGAGAGAGAGCAGTGAGAAATGGTGAAGGATACAGGGAGGGTGTCCGGAGAGGGTGATGGAAGAGGAAACAGAATGAGTGATGAGGAGGTGGAAATAGGCGGGAGAGAGGAGAGGGTGGCGGTGGGATAAAAGAGGAATGAGAGGGAAAAGAATTGGATAAGTCACGACACAGAAAGTCAAATGTGGAGCGTGTAACGCGAAGACAGAGCAGAACAGGGGCGGGAAAAGCCACGCAGGTAAAACTCCACTTTTATGGAACAAAAAGGACGTGTTGGGGGGGGGGGTTGTTCCACACCGCAGCCTGAAAAACAGTTTTTGTTCTGCAGGATTTTTATCATGAAAATAAAACCAGTTCTGTGAAGAGGAAGGTGCCTATTAAATATTTAAATCACCTAATGATATCAGTTTCTGATTACCACAGATGTTCACCAGAAAAGTCTCCTGAGCTGCAAACTTTTCACTTTGGTTTTATTGTTCTTCCTTCGGTTAGAAGGCAACTCTAAGTGTGTTTTCCTGAAGCAACCACAAAGGGTTGCATTCATCTTTGAAGACTTCTCAATTAAACAGATGATGGAGTGGGCGACTGCATTATCAATCAGTGCAGCGACAGTGATTTTAGCATACTAAGTGACTAACTGGTGATTTATGAATGATTACCATGAAGATTATCTGACCTGAGGATTTTTGTCTCCATCCTACGTTTCCCTCTCCATCTGTCATCTCCTTCTATTTTCTATCTCTTTGCCCCTCTGAATCCTTCCCTCTCTCCCTCAGGGCGAGTGCTCCTCCAAATGCTACCACATGTTCATCATAGAGACGGTGTGTGTGGCCTGGTTCTCTCTGGAGTTCCTCCTGCGCTTCATCCAGGCACGCAGCAAGCTCGATTTCCTCCGCGGGCCGCTCAATATCATCGATGCTATGGCCATCCTGCCCTACTACGTCTCCTTCGTTGTGACAGATGAGGATCCAGCCTTTGAGCACGAGAGGCCAGGGGGAGGTAAGGGCTATTTGGATAAACTTGGTCTGGTGCTGAGGATCCTGCGAGCTCTGAGGATTCTCTACGTGATGCGGCTGGCTCGTCACTCCCTCGGCCTGCAGACGTTGGGCTTGACGGTGAGGCGCAGCACTCGGGAGTTTGGCCTTCTTCTGCTCTTCCTCTGCGTGGCTGTCACCCTTTTTTCCCCTCTGGTCCACCTAGCTGAGAGTGAGCTCACAGGTACCCATGACTTCAGCAGCATTCCCGCCTCCTACTGGTGGGCCATCATCTCCATGACAACTGTAGGCTATGGCGACATGGTGCCGAGGTCCATTCCCGGACAGGTTGTAGCGCTGAGCAGCATCCTCAGTGGGATCCTCATCATGGCCTTCCCCGCTACCTCCATCTTCCACATGTTCTCCCGCTCCTACCAGGAGCTGAAGATGGAGCACGACCGACTGTTCAAAGAGGAGTGTGCGGCCGCTGCCGCCTCGGGGGAGATGCAAGAGGTTGGAGGGGAAGAGAAGGAGGATTCACCTCAAACTGGACCGGGCCTGCATCAGGACAAGAATAGTGAGCACTCTATGGAGTCTCTGGCTCTGCTCGGTGAACGGGGAGAAGCTGCAAAGAATAATAACTTCAGTCTTCCAGCTGCAGCTTTCTGAGCATTTACAGATTCACACCTAAACCTCCATAAATAGATATTCACCAATAGTAAAGGTACTGATGCCCCAAAGGCCTGATTATCATTGCATTCTTGTGGATAGAAAGAATTTTTCTTCAAGGAGAAATCTGCAAAGAACCTGAAGGACCTGCAACCCTTTAAATTGGACCACCTGACCAGAAGGCCTCTGCAGTAATACCAGTAACATGCTGCTTCCATGAACATGCACTATCAAACCCAAAGTTGCTTTTCCTTCCACTGTGAAATGCCTGAGTGCAACGTTTAGGTTCATTTTCAGTCGTTTCTGACATGTTGCCTATAGAGTATGATCTAAAAACACGTCTCATTATATGTACTCAGACGTGTTTGCCATGAATATGAAGAAGTGCACATTTATATTTAAATTCAGTAAGCTTAAAGCCATGTAATAAATACCAACAAACTGATAGTTCTGATCATGCATATACATATATATATATATATATGTATACATACATATATATATATATATATATGTATGTATACATATATATATATATATATATATATATATATGTATGTATACATATATATATATATATATATATATATATATGTATACATACATATATATATATATGTATGTATACATATATATATATATATATATATATGTATACATACATATATATATATATATATATGTATGTATACATATATATATATATATATATATATGTATATATATGTATGTATATATGTATACATACATATATATACATATATATATATATATATATATATATATATATATATATATATATATATATATATATATATATATATATATATATATGTATATATATATATGTATACATACATATATGTATGTATACATATATATATATATGTATATATATATATATATATATATATATATATATATATATATATATGTATATATATGTATGTATACATATATACATACATATATATATATATATATATATATGTATATATATATATATATATATATATATATATATATATATATATATATATATATTCATGTACATACATATACATACATATATATATATATATATATATATGTATGTATATGTATGTACATCAGTCTCTTTTGTTTGAATGCCTGAACTTTTAAAAATAAGTGATTTTGAAATGCTTTAGTATAAAATCCAAGTAATCGGTTTGAGGTTATTTCAGGATTTTCCAAATGTTCTTTTTTTAATCAATAAGGGAATAAAGGAGAGTCTGATTTAGAGAGAGAGGGTGTGTGAGTGAGACTGAGCTCTTACAACCATGAAATGTATTCAGCTTTTCTCCAAATAAAAACTCTCCTGGTAATCTGAGAGAAATCCATTTTGGGGGCTGTAGTTTTTTTTTGACAGTATAATCTGGGATGCTCAGACTGAGTCCTGCTGCTGGAATCTGCTGAGAGAAGAGGAGACGGTAACAGCTGCCCGGGCCACACACTCAGATAAGTATTCAGTGAATTCAGTGGCAATCCTCTTCTTACATCATCTCCGTGTTTTTATAGACATAATTACCTCATCCTGGAACGATGCCAGACTAAAAACAAGGATTAGTGCAGCATTTAGCTCTCTCTGAGAAACCAACCTTCCTCCTCCTCAATTCAGTCCTAAGGTGGCCTTCGATCTCATCTCATCATCCAGTTCCATATTTCTGAGTGAGAGGTTCAAGATGGTTGTGAAGATATGAGACGGCATGCCAGATGTGGATATAATCTAGATTAGAATAGGGGTTAAAACATGCACAGGCTACAGTCTGAAACCCAACCTGCTCCTAACACGCTTTTACCTGCTCTGATGCTGGGATGAGTTTGTTAGTCTGAGTTACAGATTATACAGTTTAAACAGCTGTTTAACTGGTTGTATTTATGCTGATTATTTAGTCCGTATACTCCTCATGTGTTTTTGTTGGTATTAGATGTCATACCATAAAAATAACGTATATATATAAAAGCATTTTATTTTTATTACTGTCACAGCATCATTTAAATGTTCCCTACGTAGAGCAGCCTGTGGGAGCCATCATCAGCAAGTGAAGGAAAAGGAAAATGTCTGGCTGTCTCTATAAACTCTCATCTGTTTTCTATCAGTATCTGGTTTTAGGAATCATGTACCTAAAATAAGAAGTTTTAAAAAGTCCCCTCTTGTGACATCACAAACAGGGAATTTAGCACTGAACCACCTCTCACATGCAAAAGAGAGCTTCTCTATTCTAAGCCCCTCCTGCATATTGGAGCTTCTCAGCTTATAGTAGCCTGAGCAGAGAATAAGTGGGCGTGGTCAGCATCGGCTTGTTTTCTTAATCTGACTCATTTTGGAAGGTACTGAAACTGTGGAGGAAAAAAGGGATTTAGAGCAAGGAATTTCATTAACATGTGTTCTATGGACCACAGAACAATTTTAACTTAAAAAAATGAACATGTTCACTTTAAGTGTGACAAAAATAAAAGGAAATGGGAATAAATCTGTATTTTACAGCACTGTAGCTGTTGGAGAACTCACTACTGCTGTTGGCTGAGGATTCTTACCCCTCTGGAGGCAGGCGCTGCAGATGTGCAACGTTAAAACCTACCTACCTGGTTCCTCCACACACGTGCTTCATGAGTACCCCTGAAGGACGTAGCTGTTCGTCCTTTCATCAACACTTAGAGCCTGAGAGGTTACGCAGCGTCCTCTGGAAAAATACCAGGTAGATTTTCAGTTAAGTCGTCACATGAAAGGTCCCCTAATAAATGAGTTAATCATCAATCTAATAAACCATGCAAGTGAATTTCATTTAAAAATAATTATTCAATGCAATCTAAATGTATTGGAAAGTCTAAATCCCACCGACACGGGCTGGAAAATGCCTCCTCCCAGTTTGAAAACACTGGGATGAATAATGCTTGTGTTGGTTATATTGATGATATTGCTTACAACAAATTAAGCCATTATGCACAGATGTATTGCCTCCTTCGTGCAACAATTTACTTCTTTTATTTTGTGCAGACCCGCACGGACACCCACATGCAGCAGGAGAGGAGGAAGTTTCTGTGCTTCCCGCTGGGATGGCTCCCTCGTTTCATCCTTTATTCTCTCAGGATGGTTTCTGCTGTCGTACGACGGACCTGTCAACAACATGTGTCCCGCCCTGCTTCACTCATCACTCTGCGACCAGAACAGGGTTTCATCTTACTGCTCTCTCTTTGTTTCCTCCTCTAATATAATTTATATGCCTGCTCAGCTGAAACCGTGCAGCTGGATCATTATTCATGAAGTCGAACATCGCTGCACAGCATTATTACACGTAATCCGTTTCATCTGTAATTCCTTCCTGAAGTTACAATTGTGCAAACAGATCAATCAAAAGTTTATGAAGGCATGCCTATCCCTTCCCTCTTGCTTCCACGTTCACCGACTAATGTTCTCGTCCACTCCCACGCATGTGTGAAGGTGACGTTGAGGTGGGAGTTTTCCTCGCTCATTGAGAGTCTATAGGTTGAAGGGGTCACAGCATGAATTCGTTGTTCCCGTAACGTGGGAGTTGGGAAGCCCTTTGAGACTGCAACAGTGACTAACAAGGCTGCATGAAATAAACTTGCAGATCCGCGCGTCCCTGGCTGCTGATAAAATTAGGACCGAGGTGTAGAGAGCGGAGCCGAGCGTGGGTTGTTCTGATGGGAGGAGGACATTCAGCAGATGTGGTGGTTAAACAAAACAATCATGAGAAATTTGTACAATTAGAGGAAAACAGACTGAACGATTTTTTGGTGTTCACCAACTTTCAGGTTTACTTCAGGCTTGAGATCGGTTGATGCAGGGCTGAAGAGTTACAGGAGCAGCTCAGGTATTCTGTAGCAATCTTTTAAACGCGGATGTAACTTCCTGCTTCTGCAGCTTCAAAGGAAGTAAAGGTGGTGCATTTTACACTCTTCATTAGTGATAACACCGTTGCATTAACATGATTTTCAAAATTCAGCAATAATTAGATAGACTTGGTCCTCATCCATCCATTTTCTTCCACACAGCCTAAGTCAGGGTAGGCAACTCTGGTCCGAGAGAGCCGCAGTCCTGCTCCTTTTTCAACTATCTGTGTTGCTCCTGCTGTTGATTACCTGGATCAGGTGTGTTCAGCCGATTAGAAGCTGCAAGTTCATGCATGGCTAGAAAACATGCAGGACTACAGCTCTCTAGGACCAGGGACTTCCCTCTCCCCAGCCACTTGGGCCAGCTCTTCCAGGGGAATCCCAAAGCGTTCCCAGGCCAGGTGAGAGACATAGTCCCTCCAGCGTGTCCTGGGTCTTCCTTTAGGTCTCCTCCCGGTTGGACGTGCCCGGAAAACCTCACCAGGGAGGCGTCCAGGAGGCATCCTAATCAGATGCCCCAGCCACCTCAACTGGCTCCTCTCGATGTCCTCATGTCAGTTTTAACACGCATTTGTAAACTGACCTGTGTTTTGCTGCAGCGCTGCTGTTTTGTGCAAATGTGAGGATCGGCTTTTAGTAAAAGTAAATCGTCTCTTCAGACTGAAAGGATGTTGTTGTTCAAAGAAGACACATCTCCATCATTTATCCTGAGACGAAAGGACATTGATAACATCTGGTGGTTTAAAGTGAATCTGGCCAATCTCATCTATTTACATCAAAACAAACTGGTCCGCTGTTTCTAAACGGACATTCACATCATGGCTCATGATCAAGGTGAAGTAATTAGTCTCTAATTGTTTTTTTTTAATCTTTTATTTCATTCACAATGTATAAAATAAACACAAACAAATACAGGATACATTAACATATTGAAAAAAAAACATTTGAATGAAAAGGAGCAGATAGAAGAAAAAATCTTATGATTTCTGCCCCTTTTTACGAAATAAAATTATCTGCCAAGCAAACACAGTGTAACCTCAGTCACTTTCTAATATTTTCGCGTCTAATCTTTGACATTATAATTCTCCTTTTCATAATTACTAAATACATTAGATTTTATACATTTTTTAAATATTGCAAGTGTAGTTGATTCTTTAAATTCCTTGTTAACGGCGTTCCACAATCTTACACCATTTACACAAATGTTACCTTCCCTCACTTTGGTTCTGAATCTAGGTTTCTCAAAGACATCAGTTCCTTTTAACATGTACCCACTTACTCTCTTATGAAACATTTTCTGAATATTAGTTGGTAAATTACTCGTATTCGCTCTGTACATTATTTGCAATATTTTCCACTCTACCAAGTCAGGAAATTTCAGTATTTTGTATCTAATGAATTATGAATTAGTGTGATCTCTATAGTTACTGTTGTTAATGATTCTCAATGCTCTTTTTTGCAAAATGAACAATGGTTGTGTAAAAGTTTTGCAAGTATGTTATGCAAGTAATTGTTTTTTCTAAATTTGAATTTGATTTGTTTAACCGTTTGATTTAAAGCGTTTCTGTGCCAGAGGGAGTTAAAGCTGCAATCTGGAGTTTTCCCACTTTCTGGAATTGC